AGCTTCGGTACGGCTCGGTGGCATTTTTTCGACATTATGGCCGTCACCACTAGCATTGGTCCGTCGTCCATTCTGCTTCAACGGATTTGCGCTTTCTCGCTGGTTGCTCTCGGTAAGCTGGGCGACAGAACAACTCAATTTCATTCGTATTTATGACGACCCAGGGGCGATCAAGTCGTACAGGCGACGAACATACAACGGCAACGACGCCTTGCTCGCCGACGGAGAGGTAGAACCCGAGGGGTATTTTAGGACGTTGGTTGAACAGCGTAAGGGGTATTCGTTGGCGGTAGGGTGCTCGAAGGTAAAAGGCACAAGGGGAAAAAAGAGAAGAACTAGTAAGCATTAAGTTGGTTATGTCCGCAGAAACGAATCAAACCTTTCACGTATTGGAACGTGACACCGATCAGTGCAGAGAACACGGCTACTCGATAGCTCACCACACGGCGCGAGGCAGCGCAGGAAACACTGGATGAACAGATTGCCAGCAGCAGAAACGAGGTTGTTAAAGCAGGGACATTTTGACAAGACGCGAACCCCGGGGTGCAATCGAGAACATCCGATTAAATCTGATGGAAAAAAAAAAACTCTGAAAGCCTGAAAGATACGCCAGCAGAGTAGCGGCGTCAACTGTAGCGGTAAAAACCTACGAACTTCTATTCTTTCGTTCTTTGGTTATCGCTTTTAAAGCAAGCCTCATGTTTGGAAGAACTACTACTAATAGTATTGCTCAGTGTTTGTGTATGATTCACGACGCTGTTTGCCTGTCTGCGTCAAAAAGCCCGCAGTCTTTGTTCCCGTCCATGGCTGCTTTACTGGACAGCAACTGAAGGAGTCAGGCAGGCAGCTAGCCAGGCATCCAATGAGCTGGTGCGTGGGCGCCATGGAAATCCGACGAAGCAGGGCGGGGGCAATTGGAGCGACTAAATCGGGGAATAAAGAAATCCGTTCATGATGAAAGCTATAGAAAACTATAGGAGAAATAAGCGCGACCTATGCCGCTGCTGTCATAAAGACCAAGCAGCGGAGTTGGATGCGTTATGCTGATGTATATGGGGCAATGGGGGGTTGGTCTGCTTGATAGGTTAGCTGTTAGTTGGCCTGCTTAGACTTCGTTTGCTCGTGGCTTGCCTCCACTAGACAGATATGGAGAGAGCGAAAAGATATGGGTGGTGGTCATGGTAGCGCCGCAGCTGCTGTGCGGGTTGTTTGAAGAGCCCTTGCGTAGTTAGTGAATGATGAACTTCTGGAGATGACAGTCCGCATCCCAGCTCGCTGGCCGACTCTCCGCCCGTTTACCGGCTACCGCAGTCTTCAAGGATTCATACCGAACAACGAGCCAACACCACCGTCGACATCGCCACTACGGATCGTCGTCGGCACTGCTGCGGCCGCCGGTCGAAATAAACTGGCAGCCTGCTTCTCACCAGCATCGTTGGACGGTTTAACTGGCTTAGCTGGTCACCTTTCGGCTCTTAGTGGGAGCCGGCAGGAATGCGTTTGCATACAGGGCGTAAACAACGAATAACCAAGAAAAGGATGGGGAAAGCGGCTCGTAAAAGCCGAAAACATGTTGAATTTCATTTCGAATTCATGGCCGACCTGAAATCGGGCAGCTGAAGACCCCCTGGTGCCTTTCTGGATGCAGCCAATTTTAACGGAGTACATTGCAGCGAGCAGACCCACCGCGGTCAACATTTACCATTTTGAACTACGTGATGATTATATACTCGCATTATGAAAGCTTCACACTTCATGCGTAACCATCTATAAAATTATGTTCTCATTTTGCACTTTATGTTAGATCCATCGGCGCAGGTTATCTACCGTATCGCACTACCTAGCTAACCTTTTCGGCTTACTATGCTATAAAACACAGATATAACTCGCAGAGGATCTCTTAGTCTATCGCCCTTGGACACCCAGCCCTTGAGACCCACTTACTTGACTTGAGCTACTTGAATATTAACATTCGCTCCTGCTGCTGCTAAGGCACCGACTCTCCTGGAGGAAGTTTGTGCTTCTGCTGCTAAGGTGCTAGAGTTGCTGATCCTGCACGCACTGATCCACGCTGCTTCTCGTGCTTTTATCCATTTGTATAGTTGTCGCCGCCCTATGGGTGCCCTTCATTTGCTGCCCTTGGCTATCCTAGCCCGCTAGTATGGACATGTCGGGAGCCCTAGCAAAACAAGCAAATAACTAGAAGCATCCCGAAGCCATATGGGACAGAAACTCGTAGCGCTACATCAAACGGCAAGCCTCACCTTCGGCGTAGTTCTGTACAGAAGAATGCAGACAGAAGATAATAAAGTAGTGCAGACGCGCGTCGGCTGCAAGAGCAGAGCTAGGAGGTCGTAGGGCATTGGCAGTAGCTGAGCGGTTCCAGAGACGCGTCAGGCTGGCTCGAGTAGAATAAGGCCGACACGGAGATGGTTTGCACGGATAACACGGAGTGAACAATAGTAGGAAGAGAAGTGCTGGGCGGATTCGCCATACTCTTCACTGCTGCGCTTACCATTACCAGGTAGATACAAGGTTCAAATCAGGGTCAGGACTTGTCGTCGTAGAAGTAGTGGTGGTAGTTGCAGTGCAACGTACAGTACGAAGTCATAATTAACGGCAATAGTGGGCGTAGAATAAGAAACAACAGTATGATTCGATGGTGTGGTATCAACACGATAACTGCTTTTTCCTTTTGACGACTGCAGCGTTAAAAGAAGCAGGTCGGCCGACAAGCTCCACCGCTCCGTGGTACAGTTCCGTCCGCTGGCGGTAGGTTCGATCATAGAATGTCCCAGCCGCTCTGTAGCTGGGGGATAGCTTAACAGCCCGTCAGGAGTTTTGTGTTCCATGAAAGCTCGGTCAATTGCTCACAGTAGCGTCATATGACGATGTCGAGTCCTCATTCGCTCTCTCACTCATTCCTGCTGCTGTTGCTGCTTCTATGGGCGTGAGTGCTAAAGCCCCAACGGTCACGTTCCGTGTTCGTCGCTTGCTCGAACTCCCGACACCGCTACCAACATCAACCTAGCGGACCAACAATAGACGATGCTTTTACTGTTGTTGTTGTTAGCACCGCTGCCAGTGAATGCTCTGATCCACAAGCACAAGCCGGACTGAGACTGACCATGAAGTCGACGGCGTTATTCAGTCAGCACGAGTTTTGGTCGCCTCACCGCAGGCGCCACGGCAACCGCCGCCGCCGCCGCCGCCGCCTGTGTGACCTGTTAATTTTAATCTGGACACAACCCCGCAGGCCCCTTTTCCAGCTCAGAGAGAAGCTGAATGTGCAGGATGGGATCACCGCGTTCTAGTGAATTATGTACTTGCGTGCCGATCTCGCGCAGCTCCGAGGCCGCTGCGTTCGTTTCCGCTCCTGTAGCTATCGAGTCTGCATCCGCAATCCGCAGTAGAGGAGAAGCTGCACGCGACAGGACGGCGGTGGAAACAGGTGCGGCAGTGCCTGGTAGTAAGTCGAGCTGAATCAAGTCATAAGACGACGACAACGACCAACGAGTTCTACTCTGTTGCTGTTGCTGTAACTAGAGCTACTTTTGCCCAGGTCTGATCTTGCGGTTGGCCTGTTACTGCTGCTAAAGGGTGACTTGGGGATCAAAATAGGATGGTGGGAATGGGCTGGGAAAGAAGCAAAAGTAAGGGGATGGAAAGCGGTGATGTCGTTCGCTTCATTTTGTTGCTGCTGTCGTTGTCGTTGCCGTTGCCGTTGCCGTTGCCGCCGCCTTTATCTCTTGCTTCAAAGTTCGAGCAACCTTGTACGCATTCAAGTAAGCAAACGTGTAGGGGGTTAGGTACGGCGAAACGGAACAACGGGGTGGAAGGAAAGTCATACACACCAACTTTACATTGCTGCCTGCGTGCTTTTTCTCTCTCTTTCTTTCGTACCTGGCTGGTAAGCGAGCCGGAGCTTGAAGTGCGTTTGCCCTCGTTGTGGCAAAGCTAAAAGGCTACTTCTACCAGCCGTACCGAAGCAGTAGCGCCTTCAGCTCGACGTAGTCTGGCTTACAACAACAGCAGCAGTACGTCCACCACCTCTAACCCCACATCTTGCTGAATATTCAAAAACACCTCGACAAGAAAAGCAGTACAGCCGCTGCTGTTGCTGTTATATGCAGTGCAGAGTGAAGAAGCTGAGATTATTATTGTTGTCATTAGGCTACGACGGAGCCGTGACAGCAGCAGCAGCAGCAGCCCCGGCGACCTCACCTTCATCTGCTATAAGTGGGTTGCTAGGTAGATAGAAAGTATATGTGAACTGTTGTCTCGCGGCATATGCGAGTTTGTTGGCAAAGGCTTTAGCAGCGACAGTAGCAGCAGCATCTCTTCTATGACGACGATACGAGATCTAGTGAGGATACCGAGATGGTGGGTGACAAACGAAGGATGAATGTAGAAGCGGGCAAGCAAGGCGGTAAAGGCAGGAGGGCGATCCTTCGGGGATTTTGCCACTGGGAAAATGTCCCTGGAATATGTAAACTCGTATATAAAGATATAGAGCAAGAGTGAGGATGAGAAAGAACCCGGAGATGAGGTAGTGGAAGAGGATGGTGCACATCGTTTCTCTTTTTCTGATTACAAAGTTACCGACGGCCCAACTCAGCGTCTGCTTAAGACTGTGGGGGAGGCTCTCGCTAAGACTGAGGCGACTACGCAGCCGTTCTCTGGAGTTGGAACATATTACTTGCTTTATGCATATTAGACAACGAACCACTACAATTTACTAGATAGATTTTTGTGAATCCTCAACGAATGCTGCTACGAGCGGTAGATATTTGCCGCGATCTGTACGCCGCGCGTGTGGTGAGCGCTTGTGGTAACGGGTAACTATAATTCATAACAGTCATTGCTGCGTGTATTTTTGTTTTCATGTTCAAACTGTTTCTAAGAAGCTACCGTATTACTCTGCTGCAATCAGTCGAGATAAGATAATGGCTGCTGAAACTTAACAACGCTCTTTGTTTCCTTGTTATGCCTACTTGCAGTACTGAGTCTACGGAACACCCAAGAGGAAGAACCTCCTGATCCACAGTTAATGCGGCTGGACAACATGTTAATTGCGGAAGGGGTGGCGGGGCCGGAAAAAGGAGGCGGAGCTGGAGCGGCAGCAAACGCCGCAGCAGCTGCTTCCGGGGGTGAAAACGCTATCGAGCACTCCGACTACAGAGCGAAATTGTCTCAAATCCGGCAAATATACCATCAGGAGCTGGAGAAGTATGAACAGGTAAGTGCTAAACAGTGTTGACAGAAATCATCTGTTTTAACAACATAAAATACATGTAAAAGTATATGAAGTGCGTTTTTATCAAATAGTCCATGTCAGTTGCTCTTGATTTTCGATCCGATTGACTGAGTCTTATTCATGAAATACGTGTTGTGACAGTATAAACCACAAAGGCGAAATCAGTAAATTTCATTGCCTACATATATAGATAAAGTGTACTAATAGTTCCAACACACAAAATAACAAATTAGCCTTAGGGGTTAATTTTTGTATGGACAAGCTGGTTTCCCCCTACCTTCTCAAGCCAACGTAGACTCATTCGTTTGTACGAAAGCAGTTCATGTGCCCAGTGGATCGTCATGCGTGTATATAGCCCCCTAAAGCGATCACCATATGTACATTAGAATCGACTACCTCTGCAGTATTTGTCCATCGAGGTGGTCTGGGGAAAGATTGAGTAAATTTACTGAACTATTTGTTATATTAAAGATTTCTAGTCTTATTGATTGAGTTAACAACGAATCGGACATGCATGCTCATCAGACCGAATCCATTTTAGAAGTCAAAGCTCAAGTAGCGTGACTTCGGTTTGGTACAGTTAACCTGAAAATATTACGGAGTAGTCAGCTGCTGAGACTAGTCATTGTGACAAATAGGGCAGATTCTTTTTGGTAAAGCTTTTTCATAGTAGTCCCAAAGCCTACATTTGATCGATCTTTCGTCCTTGCCTTGGCCAACCGACGTGTTCCTCGTTGGGGTTTCTCTTTTCAAGGGGCCTGGGCTGCTGTTCTTTGCCGCTTCTTCCTGTAGGAGAGTTGTCAGTCTCTCTTTCATTTCTTTGCCGGCTTCCCAAGTTGGTTATTCGCTCTTTTGCGCAAAGTGACTCGTCGTTGTCTAGTATCAGTCTACCGCCGGAGGCTACTCTGTAGGGCACTCTCCGCGATCCCTTCTCCCCTGTCTAGTCCCACATGTCTTATGTCATAGGTAAAAATGGCCTAGTCAGTTAAGGTGACGTGAGCTGCCAGTCTGGCCTTCGTATGGTATGATGGATGAGGCGGCGCAAGGGGACCCTCATACCTAGAGTCCTTTTTTCGACGACTGCTGCTCCTGCAGCAGAAACAGCCCAGTGAACGGTATAGTTGCTGGTTGGCCTCGTACTGTTCAAGCAAGAGGCAGAATCGGGAATATGGTAGGCTCCGACTTCGACGTAGCACACACGCGCAACTAGCGAATGAATGAACTATGTCAAAGGCTGTGTAACTGAGGATTCTCCTGTGCCACTATGTCTGCTACAACGAAGACGGCGGCGATTGTATCCGTTGCACGCAATGATAATGCTAGTGGCTGTGGCCGTTACGGCGTTTCGGCTATGGCATATGCAGCGTCGTTCTGGTGGCCATGGGCTGCGGCGGTAATTTATTGCCTCATCGCCGTAACGGCGTGGTGGTGGTCGCTGTCGTCGTCGCTACTATTGCCGGCACTTTTTCGCGAGACGTCGGCGCGAGCGAACTGCTTCTTGCTGGAGTTTACCGTTCGTGATTCGTGGGGCAGACAGAAAGAGAAGCCGGGAAACTTGCCGAAATGGTCGACTGTTGCTGGCAACAACAACCACGAACTTATGCAGATGCGGAATGTAGCTGCCGCAGACAACTAAGCGAGCGTCGAGTACTATACCGTGACTACTACAACTGCTAGTGGTGGCAATTACCGGATTTACTCTACCTGATGTACTTGGATGAGCAAGCTAGGGGTAGTGACTGGCTCAGCTCCACATTCTACGCCAGAGTCAAACTGTCGAGATGATCTCTTAGGAATTTCCGGCACCGTTATCACTATTAAGCAGTAACGCGTGCTTCTAGCAGCTCTTATTGCGAAGCATTCTGCATCGAAACTGCGACTAGTACTTTCACTACTACAACTTCTAGTATTCCAAAGTATGGCAGTTTACATAACATCGTTCTTTTTAAGCGTGGAGCCACCAGTATTTGGAGGTCGTGCGGGTTCGAGACTTTATGGGGGGCACACAGGAATAGTGTGAGGACAGGGCGGACGTTAGGGATATGGGATTGTTCATGGGGATATGTACTTGACGCGTTTGGGATGTGGATAGTGGTGACCGGGGATTTTTTAGGGAGATGAAGGGGGCCGGAGGAGTGCTCGGGCTGAAACGAGCTGCACGTCGTTGGCTGTTCGTTGGCTTGGGGGTGGGCGCAAGGCCCTCCTCCGCTGCCGCCCCTTTGCTGGCCGAATCCATCAAAGGCGGGCGGTGACCAATCAAATTTGAGCGACAGCCCTGCGCCAGGCCCCGTTGTCGCGCATGCGCAACTCCAGCCGGTGCGCGCCCGGGCGGCTCTTCCCCTCGCCCACAACTACCCTAACCATTACCCGGCCGTGGATTCGGGCCAGCCGGCTGGCAGCGCCGAATAACCGTAAGCAGCAGGCTGCTCATCCGCCGCTTGCTGCCAGTTTGCCAAAGCGGGGGTCCAGGATAGAACGGGACCGCTATTCCCGGGACCGCTTCGGCGGCAGCAGCGGCCAGCCGCCTGTACCGCTGCCATCGGCACGGCCAACACCAGAGAGGGTGAGGGCCGCCACACAACAGATCTCTTAGACTCCCTTCGTGCTCGCACTTGTCCCTCGTGTGCCTTTTTCGTCTTTCAAGCCGCCACTCAGACATATTGAACCAGCAGCAGCGCAACTACCATCACCATCCAGCCCACGAGTTTTCTCGGGTATAGTCGGTCAGACAGCGGGCTGAGTGCCTAGAACAGGGGCCCTAGGCGCTGCCACTGGGTAAATGGGAGAAAACAAACCAACAAAGGGAACAGGCATCTTGAAAGTGTTCTAGCATCAGGAGGCTGCTGCTTCCGTAGGCAGGAACAGTATCACACGATGCCCTTGGGTCGCTTAGATGTACTAAGAAATGTTATCTGAAAATGCGTTCATTCTGCGAACAGCCAAATGACGTGACTTTCCCGTGCTGGCGTTGCATTTGCGCCGAGAAGGATTTCGTTGTTGCAGAGCAGTAGTCGAGGCGTCCGCTGTTTCTGAGGAAGAAAGTCTGATTTATATAAAAAGAAGGTGTGGGGCAGACGATCTTCATGAGCTGAAGGACGATCCGTCTTCCTGCCGACGGCCTTGCTCCCTTCATCAGCAGTGGGGTTCACGTCCTTCTGCTACTTCTTCAGCCTCTGTTCCGCTATTGCCGCTAGTAGAGCTCGGCATGTTGAGCAAAAAATATCCGTGGCATCCCTGCCAGGCTTGCCTGTTTCCAAGTTGACCTTAGATCGTCAACTGTTTTCGGCGTGGCACGTAAAACGACAGATGCTGCGTCAGTGTGAGTGACATCTGATGAAAGGGGTCAGCCGACTGCTATATATTATTGTATAGAATAACCGTATATATAACCGTGATTCTATAACTCTATGTTCGCTTTATTTTAAGTATTGATCATTGATATCAGTGATATTCGATTGATCAACAAAATACAATAAAAACTAGACTGATGGCTAGGTATGTATAGCTTTAACTACGCTTGAACTCAGTTGATCTGTATAACTAGATATCAATCAATTACTAAATGTTAAAGTGTTTGAGGCAAGATCTGCAACATTCATATATTAGAGGAATCACATATATTGGAGAAACGTTCTATAGAATCAGTTGGTTGCTTCAAAAGAACGAACACACCTAGAACCATGCTATTGGTACACATTGCATATATATTCCCATTGTCGACGGAGTAGTTTGGCAGCTAAGACTCGGGTGTAAAGCGACCGAAAGTCGTCGCGTCAGGCCCATCCAAGGACACATATTACACAATCTGTGTGAATAAAGAAAACTGTTTTATATATATTTACATTCAATGAAACGTATTCAACTTGAATATGTCGTTTCACCGAGTGGAAACGTCAACAAATGGTAATTAACTATTAGTAACTCCTTCCCCGCTATAAAAAATTCAATGGAACCTCCTATACACAATGCTAACTATTAACCTAAAACAACATACCCAAAGGTCAGAAATACTTAAATAGAGAGCATCTTTGTTTTCTTTCTGATCGTGTACTTTGCTATCGAGAATCGTTACATGCTATGGAGTACAGTCGCTAGCTCGGATTACACTTCATGCGTTGTTGTTGTTCAGATGTGATGCTTCGAAGAGCTGCTGTTACAGCTGGGGGTGAGCCGTCAAGCGATACGTCGCTGACCTATCCCCAGGGCAGCGGGTCAGGCACTGTGTTGGCCCCTGTTCAAAATCTTCGGCTTATCCCCACCGCTGCTTACCATCGCCTGGTTCCCGTGTGCCTTTCTATAGATCGTCCCGTTAACCCCCTACCTTCTCTCCTGCTTGTATCATCCGCTCGCCGTATCATAACGCATGTGAGGATCCTTAAACGCGTCGCCGACCGTGCTCTGGGTTTCTCTGGGTCTCAGCGTCGTCAGTCAGCTCACATGCGATTCATGCCTGCTTTCGAACACGGTGCCCTCAAAAGCTTGTTCTACGGGAAAAGCAAAGTTTGTCGAGTAGACTTCACGCGTATCTTTCCCATCAGCCTGGGAGTGTTAGGATAAATGGGGGGTTGCAGTGAAGACGGTTCGTGAGTAGGACTTCTCTACTCTGAAGTGAAGAGGCAAGTAGAAGCAAGCAAGGATGGTAACGTCTCGACGAGACGCGAACGGGAAACGAGCTGAAGGTTGTTGACGCCGAACGGAACCTGCGGTGCACATCGTTCTTCACCAAAAGCAGCACTTTGTAGGGAAAAAGAGAGAAAACGGGCAAATTCGAAAAGCTACGCTACTTGGAGGCATGTTTCCAGCAACAACTCAGTGTACTGTCTTGAGTATGCCCTCGTCGAAGTACAGCTAGTACAAGAGGTGCCGAAGAAGGGGATCGACACGGTGGCTTCGGACCTGAGGACTGCCGAAGGGGCGCTTACAAGGAAAAACCGACAGAGAGAGCGAGCCAAAGGAAGATAGAGAGCATATTCTATTGCACT